GCCAGGTCATTGTCCCCTCCTCCTCCTCCTGTCTGGCCTACTGCTTCACACACATAAACATAAATGACAATTAAATACTCTGCATGTAGCAAGTTGACAACTCATTTAGTGCAGAAGTCATCCTGCTGTACTTTAGATGGGGGAATTAAAGTGATGTGAGGGGAGAAAGACAGAGGACAGGGGGTTGAACACTGACTTATCTTCGAGGGGTCAGGGTAGGCCAAGCTGGTGAGTTGGCGGAGCTCGGGCGACTCAAACTTCTTTCTGATGGGCTCCAGCAGCTGGTGTAGTGCCACTTCTACCGAGGCCTTCAGATCTCCTGGATGGATCATCTAACAAAGACAGAGAATACCGATGATTAGCCCGCAGCAGAAGGAGAAATTTAAGTAGAGAGATACTGTGAGGGGAGCTTTTATTCTTCAAATAAACTAGTTAGATTTTACCTCCTCAGCAAAGTCCTTCTCCACCTCTTCAAACACAGTGTAGACTTTGTCTCCACCCCATTTAGGGTCCCTTTTGATGCAGAAGTCTAAAACACAAATGGATCCAAACATCATCTTTTTACTAATGGAGAAAACTCTAAAAGGCAAGATAACAGGAGGAAATTCAAGGATGTGTTTTCTACCTCCAAGTAGAGGGAAGACGACATATTTGACAAAAGACAGGACTCCATTATTCTCGATGTTGCCTGGCTCACAGAACGCCTTCTTCAGCTTCTTCTTCACAACTTCTTTAGAGTCTAGTAGATCAATTTTTGACTCCTGGACATGAGGTATGAGTGGTCACAGGCATTACAAAAATATACCTCACCCCACCTCACCTCCCAACAAATAATATGTTTGCAACTTTACTTCTTCTGAGGAGCTCATCTTCGCTCCAGTCAGTCCTGGGACCATCGGGTTCATCAAATGGGCACGCTTAGCGTAGCCAAGAGAGGGCAAGTACTGGTGACAAAGAAAAGGCTATATTTAATATTCCCAATTCACAACATTTTTAGAGAATAATTTTTAAAAAATTGTTTCACACAATCACATCAACACGGGATCCAAACTTAAGTAAATGTTCATCTTAATCTGATTTTATATGAAATTCAATGCACCTGGAGTGTTAAAACAAAAAGAAGTCAAGTGTTCTCAACAACCTCACAGCGGCTCTTAAACCTAACCATGAAGTCTCACAAGAGCACAATTAATGAAAACAAAAAAGAGGTAAAGCAATAGGGTAAGAATAAATGTGTCAAGATGGAGTCAGATTGTACCTTCTCTGCCAGAGTAAAAATCTTCCTCTGGTCAACTCCTCCAAACTGGGCGTCCACCTTCAGGTACTCCTCATCCAGAGCCTGAGGACAAAGACATTGCATTTATTGATGCAGACACCGATAGCAAGAAATACAATAAGAAAAATACATAAGAGTGTGTTTTATTTTAAAATTGTCTTTATTTTGGCTATTTTTACCACCATAAATTGTCATTTTTCTGACATTGGGTTGAGGCACGAGAATACACCGAGTAATCTTACAACATTGATTAGCAGCAATTTGATAAGTTGGGTAAACACTACTTCATCTACTACTTCACCTGTTATTACCTGTAGTCCTGGGTACAGCAGGCCACTCAGCAGAGGATGCTCCACCTGTTTGACGACTTCAGCTCCAGCCTTCTTAGCATCATGCTCTGTCACCATCGAGGACATCCGATACACATCTAGAGTGTATTCTCTGACAAACAGACCAAAAACATTTGTTTACATATAGGCTGCAGCTATAAAGTCAGAGAATGTGAAGTTAAATAAGTTAATGTTAAGACAGTCTCAGAGCAGTATCAGTACTACCCACCTGCTGAGCTGGAAATCTGTTCCTTTGACAAACTTCAGTTTTTCCAGAGGCACACCAATGCTCTCCAACATGGCCTTGATGACCTGTTCATAGTACTTCACCCTGAGCTCCAGCAGATCCCAGGGAGCCTTCATGTTGTCTAGGTAGGCATGCAAGTCTGCAAACAGAATAGTAACCTAAGGACAAGAAGAAGAAACAAGTTTACTGTACATGAAAACTACTGGTAAGCAGGAATTTCAGATTAAATTCCTTAGGTCACAGGTGAGATGCACCCACCTCACAGCCAGCCTTAAGGAAGTCTGCTATCTTGGACATGGGGACAAAGTAAGCTACGTGGGGTTTGCCAGTGGTCGCTGTGCCCCAGTACACCTTAAGCTCTCGCTCCTGAAGAACCTGCTTCACCTTTTCCTCACCAAGGACCTCCTGCAATACACCCATGCAAACAAACACATGAGAC